TTTTGTGTTAAGATTTCACATTTTTTTAATCGATTAATTACTCTTTTAAAATAAATTTGACCTTTTGATATTATTTTGGTAATGTCTATTTTTTCTTCGTTCTTCCGTCACAATCACGTTAGGTGGAAGAATAACGTGAAAGAATGTACGTTTGAGGCAAGTTTAATTGCTTTCTCAAATAGCATGTTTTTGGAATCCATACAGATAAACTGTTCATTATATTTAATTTTATAATTAATGAATTATACAAAATTTTAAGTCTATCCAAGTTACACATACACTTTCAAATATTTAAAATCATAAAATATGTATAACTAATTCTTGAAAATTCTTATTAATCGACTCAACAGAAAATTTGTTTGAAATTATGACAAAATATTATTTATTTAAATGAGACGTGCTATTTTTTTTAATGAAAGTGATTCAAAAAGTAACTGAAAGGATTTAGTAATTTTTTTTCTGAAAAAATTTAAGTAAATTTAGTTAACTTTATTCAATTTTCAACTGGTTTTTTCATATTAAAAAAACTAAATTTAACTATTTAATACACAAAAATAAAATAAAGAAAAAAAATCACTTAATTACTCCCAAAGTAACCGCGTGAAAAAATGTTAAAGTTTTTTTAATGCACTTTATATATATATATTCTCACTTTTTATATGCGACTTTAGTGTTATTCAACCCTTGTTTTTTTTTTTTTTCTTTTTTCTAAATTATCATCATTAATTCTTTTCGATCTTTTCTTTAAAGTTAAGATTCTGTTCTGTATTGAAGTTTTCTTATACGGTAGGATTCCAAATTTTCAAATCTCAAATTTAACTACACTTATTTAAAGAAATTAATTTCATTCTGAGTACATTCTTTTAACTTGAAATCTTGACCATTAGATTTGCATTCTAAAATTGAGTAGAGACTTAATCAAATTTGAAGTAATTTCTATATAAATATACGAGTATTTTTAGTTGAGTATTTGCTAAATTTTTTCTATTAAATATTTAAAATTTTATATTCTTAATTAAACATTCACTTTTTATTATTTTTATTTTTGTTATCTTATCTTGTCAGGTTAGTTATTTGTTTTTATTTACGTATTAGAAAATATAATGTTTTGTTGATTAACATCTTACTATTTAATATGTTTTTATTTAAGTCTATAAAAACAATTTGTCATTTTACCTTCATCATATTAATTACAAAATCTTATATTTTTAACACAAATTAATCGAATTAAAAGACAGAATATCAAATATAGAATGTAAACAATTTGAATACGAACAACAAAATTTAACACAAACACAATTAAAATGACTTAAAATTCAGTTAAATATTAATTATATACAACATTAAGAAACATTATTTAACCCTTAATTTAGTTTCATTTATATTTGCTATCGTTAGCTTAAAATCTTGCAATATTATGGCTATAGTTTATTTTAGCCGTACACTCACTATCTAAACATCATAAAAGTTCACTGAGTTTCAATTCATTCCGAGGGAAAAACATCCAATTAGATTGTAAAATAAAACCTTGTAATTAGGATTTGATCAATGTTGAAATAAAATAATACTCAAATGAATTCAGCTTAATATTTTCTATTTGGATTCCATTAGTACTAATTGCATTTTTTAACCGACAACAATTTTTTTCGACAAATAAATGAAATATTATTAAATAGATTAAAAATAGAGTCTCAATTTAATACACAAATTATTGTGCTGACTGGGTTTTCCTCTGAAGGGAAAATTTCATCAAATAAAACAGTCAAATAAATATTATATAGAAAAAAAAAACTCAAAGTTTTATCATTTCATTTGACCTTATTATCATCATTTTTATTTATATTGTTTGTATAGTTTCCTTTTTCATCCTCTTACATTCCTGTTAATGCTACCATTAGATATCAATATTATCATTTATTATTATTAGTAGTAGTATATCATTAATATCTATTCATATATTTTACTTCTTTGAGAATAATTATGTTTGTTTTTCATTAGTTTCTTGTTGTTTAATAATTAAATGAAAGTTGATAATTAAAAAGAATATATTTCTATCTATACAGAAGTGAAATAAATGAATAAATATCGATGATAGCAATGAATAGATTAAATAAGGAAACCAAGGGTAATAAATATACAATGAAAAGATTAAATAAATAAAAAAACTCAAAGAAAGTCTTATATTAGTCCTTTTAAGCATGAAAAGGATATTTTTTCTTGGTCATTAAAACATCATTAGAATCGTATACTAATCCTAACTTAGTAGTAAAGTGAATTTATTTTACAAATAAATGAGAATTGATTATAAGAAATACACCTTTAGTTGTATTGAATAGGAAATTAATTTAGATCAAGAGTGATGTAAAATCAAGAATTAAAGTACTAAAAGGAAAGTACCTTTTTCGCCCACAATAGCCTTTCTAAGCTAAAAATAATGTTGTTTTTGAAAGATATTTGTTGTCACTGCCTAAAAATGTTTTTAAAAAATTTTGTGTATGGTTTTCATTGGAGAAGTCCTTTGTAGATGACAAGGAATATTTTACAGGCAGGGAAATTATCAATTTTTTAATTTGTAAGAAAAAAAGATTAGGCTAGTTTTTTGTTGTTTTTATTTAATTTTTAAACTTATAAAAAAATTAAAACATAAACAATTTTTGTTTTAAAATTTAAAACGTTGTTAATCTTGTTATATTTGTCCAATATGTTCGGTAAAAGTGTATGGGACTTTTTGCATGAAATGGTGTCGTAGCGATGTAGATTAAGAGGGAAATAAAAAAACAAAAATTTATTTATTTATTTATTTATTACACTTTCACGCTGTACCTATTACTGGATAATGATTGAATCAGATTAAAAATGTTAATTAAAATTTAAATCTCGATAAATATTTATGAAAATTCAACTCGGGTTATACGGTGCGCTCAATTATAAAGGTTGTACGGCCCAAAAGCCATTCAATTCAGGCTTCTACGTTTTGGCCCAAACACAGGGTGAAAGTACGGAGAGGACTTCTACCTGTAGCTCTATGGTTTCTTCTTACACTTCTAAGGTTTTTCTTCACTTCCAAGTTGACAGTTTTGTCCTTCTTACCAATAAATACAAAACGTATCTATTGTGTCTTTCATATTTCCTAAACCAGGTACCTCCAACTCTCTATGCGTTTTCTTCTTTTATAATCTATCATTACATATAATAAATTTTGAAATTTGGTTTAGAAAACTATTTGGATTTTGAAATCAGTTTAAAAAACTCATCGAAAATTTTGAAATTCGATTTAGAAAATCATCGGATTTTAAAATCTGATTTACGAACTTACCAAATTTTGAAATTCAATAAAAAAATATTTAAACTATGTTTGATTTCGACTTCTAAATAATATTAAATGTACCAAAACAAATCCTCAGTCAATGGCAAGATGAGTTTGTATGTATCAATCACTACATTCTTGGAGTATTATCTATTTTGGAGACTAGAACTTTATCATGATTTTGTTCTTCAAAGAGTCTCAAAAGATGGAATGAATATTTAAATTGTACTTATACTCAACTCTTAAACAAAATGAAACTATGGACTGTAGTAAAATAATTCTAAATTTGAAAGAAAAATAAATTTAATTCAGTTTTCAATTTTACATACATTTTATTTTTCCTTTGAATTTTTTAATTAAAATAAAAAATAATCATATTCAAAGTTAACAAAATAAACAGAAATCATAAAAAAAATAATATAGGACAAAATCGGAAATTCGAATGAATAGTTATAGAGGAATACAATTATACATCTCCCTAGATTTTTCATACAATCGAGAACAAGTTTTTCTTGAGTTATATCTTCATACAAAAGAAAAACTCGTATTTTTTGTCATGTATTTATACATAACAAAATGTGTTTCCAGCAACATTACTTTTGCTAAAATAAAACATCAGGGGTGCAGAAATGGATAAAAGGAACGTGAAAATAACAATCACCCACTAGGAGATGGGCCATCTATTTAGCTCATAACATTGAAGCACAGGGTGTTGCTCCCTCCACCACCACACTTTTCTTCCTCCACCTCTCATTTACTATTTTGTCCCTAAGTAAAATTTTATTTTTAGGGTTATTTTTTAATTTTACTCATTCACAACCTATTCCACTATGAATAAAATATTTTTCTTTCATTTTAACATTATATTTCTTCCTCTCTTTCTTTTACAAGTTGCAAAGGTTGGTGGTGGTGGAAAGAATTATCAAACAGTCTCCCTCTCGTGGTGCAGTGTCGCTCTCGTAGTGCAGTGTGTGGAGTGGTGCAGTGTGTTGCTTCCTCAAGGTGCGTATTCAAATAAACTTTCAAATAAAACCCTAAAATAAAAAACGTAACCTTTAAGACATCCTTCAACGGATGTCAAAATCCTTCCACGAATGTCAAAATCCTTCAATGGATGTCAAAATCCTTTAACGGATGTCAAAATCCTTCAACGGATGTTGACATCCGTTGAAGCATTTTGACATCCGTTGAAGGATGTCACCTCCGTTTAAAAGTTACGTTTTTTATTTTAGGGTTTCTTTTATTAGTTTATTCTTTATTTTGGAAATATTTTAATAATTTAATTTAAATGTTTTGATTTATTATTTTTGAATATATTTTTAATGTATTTTAATAATGTAAGGAAAATGAAGAAGAAAGAAACGGAGGAGGAGAAGTGAAACGGAGGAGACAAATTGGATTGCAGAGTAAAACGAAAGACAAATTATTAAACAAAAATGAGAGATGGAAAGATTGGGTGTAGGAGTAAAGTAGGAGAACTAGGTTTGAAATAAATTAAAATAATAAAAGTAAAAAATTTTAATCTGAGAATATAATTGGAATTAAAATAAATTGGGGAGGTGGAGAGAGAAAGGTGTGGTGGTGGAAGGAGCAACACCCCCTGAAGCACATACCAAACAAGCCCATCTCATCTACCACTACTTTTATTTTTGAAATTTTCATAAATAATTGAGTAACATTATTAAACTACGAATAAAATGAATATGTTGGAAAATATATTGCTAACGTCTCAACTTCTTCCAAAATCATACATTGTAAAACTGTATATCTTCAAAAGAAATCTATTAGAAAAACGTGAAGTAATGAACACAATTTTTCATTCACGAGTGAGGAAATTAGAAAATAGTGCATTATGAACAACGCAGCCACAAGCAAGGATTCAGAAATCGACTTGGCACTTGGTCGAGTCAAACGCAGTCGCAGCCACCGTTTTCCCATTGGAATCAGTGAAAGGAACGTTGAGCTCGCACGTGGCTCTGGCATTGAAGTGCCCAGAAATATAATCCCCAAGCCTGAACCTGATACGAAACTTGATTTTTATATCAATAGGGAACACCCCATCATTGGTATCTTCATGGAAGTCAGAAACCTGGTTTCGATCGAACACCATCACATGTTGTCCCGAGAAAACGGCGCTGAAAAGGTTGGTGCCCTTCTTGTCCTGAAGGTAGGAATTCCAGGGCATGTTGACGTCGGTGGTGGAAAACCTAACGCCGTCGTAGAGCGCGTTGGCCCGAACGATGTCGTAGTAGATCTTGAGCTTCTTGTTCGGGTTGCGTGCTGTGATGTTGAGTATGAGGTTGTAGTTGAGGGTGGATGTGTTGGCGGCGTAGTCGAATTGCGTGAGCTTGGCGTCGGTGACGTGGAATCTGAAGGAGCGGGGTGTGATGATGATGTATAAGACCAAAATCACAAGCATAACGAGAATGATAACGAGGACCAGAAAAATCCAGAAGGTTTTGCAGAGACAATAGCCGCATCTTGTTCCGAGGTGCTCCTTTGTAGGAGCCGATACGACGTCGTTGGTTGCGGGGATGTTCGGTTGAGGTTGTGTTTCGGCCATGTCGTGGAGTGAAAGAAGAAGGGTGACGTGAAGTTAAGTGCCTTTTTTTGGGGGCGTGTAGAGAGGTATATGTATTGGATAAGAAGTTGAATAGTATGTAAGACAAACGCGCTTTTGAGTCTAATCTGTGCGCCTATTGTTTCAGTCATCATGTTTTGAATTATTCTTTTTGTTTTCTAACTTTCTTCTTCATAATTATGCATCTTTTACTACTATTTTTTACACTTCTATAACTTTTATCATTTAACTTTTTGTATGCTTTGTTTACATGAAGATGAGTTTGAGAAAAAAATAATAGATAAAATTTGATGAGATAAAAAAAGGAGATTGTAGAGTATTTTGTTGATCAAATTCAAGATATTTGAAAATAAAGTTTGAGTGATTGTGAATGATTTGAAAATATTATAAATAAAAAGATGATTCAATAGATGAAAATAATATAAAGTAAAATATTATAATAATTATTACTAGTGTAAACATAAATGTTATTAGTGTAAACATAAATGTTATTAGATCACAAAAATATATGTATCTCTCGGTATTTGTAGATAAAATTTGAAAATGAATAGTTTATAGCTATGGTATTTATATTACGAACGGATAGTAGGTAACAGATATTTTAATATATGTTTAGTTACGGGTTGAGATACTGTTGGTCAACAAATTAATGTGACTTGTGAAGTGCAACAATTATTAGAAAATAATCTAGTTAGAGCTGTAGCTATGAGTGTTAGAGATGGTCTAAAGAGAGGAATGAAAGTTATTCATAGAGGAACTCCTCTAAGTGTTCCAGTAGGCGGAGTAACTCTAGGATGAATTTTCAACGTGCTTGGAAAGCTGATTGATAATTTAGGTCCTGCAGATAGTTGTACAACATCTCTCACTCATAGATCTGTGCCTAGCTTTATATAATTAGATACAAAATTATCTATTGTTGAAACATAAATAAAAGGTAGATCTTTTCGCTCCTTATCATCGTCGTGAAGAAAAATAGGATTTTTCGGTGGAGCTGGAGTAGATAAAAGAGTACTTATTATGGAATTGATCAATAATATTGTCATAACTCAAAGCTGTATCTATATTTGGAGGAGTAGGTCGGATGCGAGTATTTGTATCTTCGAGTTCACTATTTGCAAAAAGATTAAAATTAAAATTTAATTTATATTTTATTAATTTAAATTTAATTAAAATTAAATTAAATTTATATTTTATTAGGTTAAATTTAATCAAAATTAAGTTTTAATTTATAATTAATTTATTTAATTTTATATTTTATATTTTTTTATAATATTATTTATATTTTATTTTAAAAATTTATAAAATGTCTTTTTTTTTTTAAATATCCACATGTTTTCACTTATACATGTGAGTTTTAAAATATTCACACAATTTTTTAACGAGTATTTAATGAGTAACGGAGCATACATAGAATGAATTTTGTTGATATAGATCAGGTGATGGGTGGCACTATCCGTGCCTGACTCAACTCTCATTTTAAGACGTGATTTTTAGTATGTATACATTTTTAAAATATATATAATATTGTATTAGTAAGAAATAATATTACAATGTTATTAAGTTAATATATAAAGTAAATTTATATTTATTAAGTTATATTTACCCATAACTTATGTATTGTTATAGCTAATTATTTAAATTTTAAAAATAGTAATTAAAAGGGTAAAATTAAAAAAAAGAGAGGGTAAAATTGTAATTAGAATTTATCCAATCCGTTAATGTTGTTCCTCCTAATAAAGAGTTATAATAATGTTGTATTACATGTTACTTTGTTGGTACACATTACTAACTCTTGACAAATTATTTTTATGATTGACTTTAACAACTTGATTTTATATACTATGTTGTCAAACTCACTTAAATTCAATAATTTTTCGTCGTTCTCTTACAATGACATCTACCTATAAAATAAAGGAATATCACAACCTGGAATTCAGAAAACAAGATCGAAACGTGCGTGTGGATACGAACAACGTTGGCTGGATTCAGAAATCAATTCGACACTTGGTGACCTTAAACGGAACCACCTTTTCCCCCTTAGAAGTCAAAGGAACTTTGAGTTCACACATGCCTCTAGGATAGTAATACCCAAACTGAAAAGCTTCAAGCCTGAACCTAATGGTGAAACGAATCATAACATCTATAGGGAACACCCCATCATTGGTATCTTCATGGAAGTCAGAAACCTGGTTTCGATCGAACACCATCACATGTTGTCCCGAGAAAACGGCGCTGAAAAGGTTGGTGCCCTTCTTGTCCTGAAGGTAGGAATTCCAAGGCATGTTGATGTCGGTGGTGGAAAACCTAACGCCGCCGTAGAACGCGTTGGCCTGAACGACGTCGTAGTAGATCTTGAGCTTCTTGTTAGGGTTGCTTGCTGTGATGTTGAGTACGAGGTTGTAGCGAAGGGTGGAGTTGGCAGCGTAATCGAATTGTGTGAGGGTAGTGTCAGTGACGTGGAATCTGAAGGAGCGGGGTGTGATGATGATGTAGAAAACCAAAATCACGAGCATGACGAGGACGATAACGAGGACCAGTAAGATCCACAAGGTTTTGCAGAGACAGTAGCAGCATCTTGTGCGGAGATGCTCCTTTGAAGGAACGGAAGCGGCGACGTTTGCTGCGGCGGTGTTCGGCGGCGGCTGTATATCAGCCATGTCTCAGGCGCGTGGGCGAGGGAGTTTTGATAAGCAAATATGTGAAGTGAGAGAGCGTTTTGGTGGCGTAGAAGAGATGGTTTTGTATAAGGCGATTTTGAAGGATTGTTCAAGACAAACGCGCTTCTGACTACAACTAATTGAATAGTAATCATGCAATGTTTGACGTTTCCACGTAGCTTTTAACTCATTAATGCTTTTTTTCCTACTTGCGTTGAAACACTCCAATTTAGTTACTTAAGTTGGAAGTAAAATTTCTTCTAAACTTCAGCTCTAAAAACTACAACAAATTACATTTTTCAACTTTTATTAAATTTAACCTGACTTTTCTAAAAAAAAAAAAAAATCCAAACACAATCAAATTATACGATTATAAAGCTATGAATTTTTCTGCAGTTTGGTCAACGTTTAGGATGTATACTATTTCTGGGTACAAAATATTCTGCGCGTTCCTTTATCTGCGGTTTTAGAAAGAAATACTTTATCCAGTTTCATACCTTTTAAAAATACATATTTCAATTTTTGTAATATCGTATTTATATATTTAAGTGCTTTAGTGTCTAAAATTTTGGACAAACCATATGTTTAATATATTTATCAAATAAAAATTATCAATCAAAATTTAATAATTAAGTATTTCTAATACTTCCGTAACAATATAAAAGTTTAAATTTAGTTAATTTAACATTTATCATAATTATTATTTAAATAAATGTAATACCTCAATAGTGGATGACTGTGTCCTGATAGAGTTTTATTCCGACACATTTGGATGTTCCTTCTCCGCTTTTATTAAAAAACATTAAGATTATTTAAGATATCTCATATAATAAAAAAAAATTATTTGCTGATAAAAGCTAATTATAAGAACAAATATCAATATCAAGATCCTAACTGAAATAATTTTGTTTGAGAAGAGACAAATTATAGTAATAATTGATATCGATAAATAATAGTTAGTGAAATAATATTATAAAACAAAGAATCGTATTAAAAAAGATATAACATTTTAGTGCTTTAACTATACGTATTGCGTATGAAATTATGAAAAATATGGATTAGAGAGATTGGGTAAGTGTGATCGGTGCCGATTGTTGGAGACTGATCGGATGTGAAAAAAATGACAATTAGAACATAATTATGTTAAGAAAAAGAGTTAAATATGTTTTTAGTCCCTTAACTATCAAGCGATTTTAATTTTCGTGCGTTAATTTTTTTCTTAGGTGGCTAACGGTGTGGCACATCATTTTTTCTGAAACGTGTCAGTCCTTCCCTGCATCTTCACACCGAGCTTCTCTCCCTCCCTCTCCCTCCGTCTCCAGGTGGCAAATTGTCTCCCTCTACACCGACCAGACCGAACCAACATCTCCCTCTGTCTTTGGGTAGCAAACTGTCTCTCTCTACACCGACCATACCTGCATCAACATCTCCCACTCTGTCTTCATCGTCGGCGAGGACATCACTGCACTTACCGAGATCAGTGATCTCTGTGAGGCAGATCGTTATCACCTGAGGAAAATGCTGGCCTTAAAACCAAGCTCTGAACAGAATCACCTTTGCTTCTGTTATGTTGTTCACGATTCTGATCTCGGTGGTTCTATGTTTTTTGTTGCAGGTTTTTTCCCTTATTTGTTGATTCGATGGGAAGGTAAATAGGATCTCGAAGTAAATACCAATTTTTTTTGGTTGACGGGTATTTTTGTAAGGTGATTTGTTTTTGAATTTGGTAAAACGTTGGTGATTGTAAGTGGTTTAAGGGTTTTTATGCATTTTTGATCTATGGCTTCAGAAGTAGTTCCATCTTCCAAGGATTTGTTGAAATGTTGCAATTGTGGATTTGGTTGCTCCATGTTGGCTCAATCTTTACCCTTTGCTCACTTAAATGGATTTGGGGGAGAGTGATTAAGTGGATTTGAAGATAAATTTTTTTGTTATTTATTTGAGTGAATTTGGAGGTAAGTGAGAATGAATTTGAAAGCTAAGGTTTGTGAGAATTAGTGTAGAATTTGATTGATGTGTGACAAATTAAAAAAATTTACTTCCAAATTCACTCTAATTTACCTCCAAATTCACTTAAATAAACAACAACAAAAATTTATTTTCAAATTCACTCAATCACTTTTTTCCAAATTTATTCAAATGAACAAAATTTTAGGGTTTGAATTCTATCTGTTAATCGGAAGCATGATGAGTTCAAAATGGATGGTCAACTGGCCATGCCGGCGTTTGCAAAGGTCAAAATTGAGAATGAATGTGTGGCCTTGCGTGAGATGGTCCGTATGCAGCAGAAAACCGTTCAGGTAAAATATTACTAAACCGAGGATACTTCAGGTAAAAATATTACTAAAGTAT